AAAATATAAAACATATTTTAACTTGAAAATTAATGAATCTAAATATCTGAATTTAATAAATATGTCAAAAAAATATGGAAAACAGAGATAATTGTGTCTCATTGACAAACGCATAAATACGTCGATGGTCCACAGCGATAATTTTTTCTAGACGTATATATGCGTCCATAGGATTTAAAAGCTCAATATTAGTGTGTGTTTTTGTTGGCTTAGCAGTACGGCGCATTGCTATGGAACAATCGCCTCGATTCGACGTACGATTTATGATACAATGAATCATTATTTCTATTGGCCCTATAAAACTGGCTCGCCTTTGATACGAGTCGTCGAGCAATCGGAAATTCGCGCTTTGATCCTTGCAGTTTTGTGTCTCGAGAACGGACACTCGTGAAAGTCGTACAAGAAAAGGATTTCTTCTTAATTAGCTTGATCTAATCGCTGGCCACGAAAAAAAAAGAGAGCTCGTCTCGTGGGATAACCGTACCTTAAATTCGTGACGCCTTTTGTCTCGGAATTTCGCTTTTTCGCTCGATCTAATTAAGTTTTTGCCCACGGGCCGGATGAAACGTTGAAATTATCGCGCAAACTTGAAATTTCTATACTCCCTTTCTCCTTGGAATCGCTGCACCCAACAAAATTACGCGGAAACGTTTTACAATGAAGGGAAATCTCTGTAACCTAAAACTAAATTTCAGTTTTAATCCCCAAATGATCGCATAGAGTTTTCATCGAAGTCCTTAGTTCCTTTATTTCTTTAATAATTTAGCGACTTAAATAAATTAATGCTTGACAGTTTAGGGAACCGTCTGTTTCAACACCTTCAATTTTGTACCGTGGGTACACGTTTCTAGTTAATCTTGAATCGAGTGAAATTAAATACATAATTTAGATCTGGAGTTAGACGAAAAGCTCCAAATAGTTGTACCACTTTCTCTAATAACTGATATCGATCAATTCATCGTCTCGCTAATAGACGATAATATTAATCTGACCGTACTCTAAGCAGAAAAAAACTTGCGTAGTCATCACAAATTTTAAACATTAGTGTACATACGTACATTTTGCAAACTCATCTGACGTTTAAATCTCTTTCTTCTGTTTTCTGTTCTATGTATTTTCTATTCTTTACTATTACTTTAATATATACTTAAACATAATGACTAGACTGCAGATATTTCTGTAATTATGGCAAATGGTAAATCCATGAGAATGTTCACAAGTGCAAAATTATATAAAATATTAACAATAATATTAGTTTAGTACATATATTCATTCATACACATACATTTATCCAGATTTCAGTTATTTTTCTATATCTGCGAATATATGAATTTGCATAAATATCTGCAGTTTAATAATTACTCTGCATGTCGTTGTTTGCGTGCCTTATATTTCTATAATCTTTATAAATTGTATGGTTCGTGTATAACGATTGGAATTGTACCCGTTTGATGAATAAATAAATTCCTATGAAAATGTAATATTTCAGCAGCTGTGTTCCTTTGTTTTAACGCGAATTTCCAGACTACCGAAACTTGTTTTTCCAATGATTTGCTTCGAAAGCTAAATCATCGACCATACCGACAGCGTAATGCGAACGTAGCTGATGAATTAGATGCTGATAGAGTTACGCACGGACCGAAGAAAATCGGATAAAATTAGTCGCGTGGAAAGCATGCTCGGTGAGCCATCAGACGCAAGCTATCATAAACTGCTTTCAGGACTATTTCTAACGTGTCCTCGTGAAATCGTCTATTTTATAATTTTAGGTTGTGCCGCGACGTTTAGGAATTGGGTATTTTGCTTGGTTTAAAAATGTGAAAAGAAAAGTACACGATGTCTCCCGTATAAAACGTTACAAGCTGTTCTTGTAGAGAGTGTTTTGGAGGATGTTTCGTTTAATGTGTATTGTTAATGTAAATTGTATGGAATAAATCTTTTTTTTTAAATGGAACCTTATATCTTTTTATTCATAATAAAATAGCATTTGTTTAGATGAATTATTGTAGATAAAAATATGCGAGGTTCCATTTTACAAAATTAATTTGTTTTCTAATTTCTCTCTTTACTTAAAATACAAAGAAATGATTTACTCCATATAGAATTGCGGGTAAAAGCTTTCGGACAGATAGACTTTTCACTTTATCATTTTATATTATAATAGTTCGGATTGATAGAACTCTTCAGAACTATTTTTCTCTCTTTTGGTTTTATCAGAACTTACCACAATCGAACTGTTGACCATCCTATAAGCGATCATTCCAAAGATTCGCAGACTTAAAATTGTTTAAATAACTATCCGGTAGTGCTAATAGATAGATATTAGTTTAATTGATTAGAAACTATACAACTAATGAAAATGAAGTAAAAACTCTTCATTATTTATGAACTTCCACAAAGTCAGTTGCCAGCTTCACACAGACAGTATGACATTGTTTATATTGATAGAATTATTATAATTTCAGTTTCGAAGTTAACAAATTAATGTTAATGTTCACATTTTTGTTCCAGGCTGTTGGAACTTAAATAGTAGCTTAAGGGGTTATCCATTCCACTTTAAACAAAACACACCCCGTATTTTATATAACCATTATATGACAATTTTCTTTCCCAAATTAGTCTTTAGCATAAACTACGTGTTCGAGACTTACAGATTTTATTTGTTACCAGCACGTTTGATTTTATTAGATGATGTTACTAATTAAACTGTACATTAAATATTAATAAAAGAAATATTATTTATTTGAAATGACTTCTCTTTATTATATTAATACAACATATCAGGCAAAGAGCAGCAAATCAATTATATAGGAAAAAAACAAAACAACAACGTTTTTAATAAACAAACTGAAATATACAATTCGATACAATCGATCATACCAAGTATGAAACGATATTTTAATTTTGATATATTTGAATAGATTTTAATTACTTTTAAATATGTGGAGTGTTTGTTCCATATAAAATGATCTAATCTGTTTTCTCCAAAACTACTCGAGATATCGACTTTACTTTTCCTACAGTTAATTGAGACAGGTGGACGTAACATTTGCTTAAACTGTTTTTTTTAAATTTTTGGAATGCAACGACCGTCCGAAAGAATAAGTCAGCCAGTACGGGTCGTTTAGTTTCGAACATTCTTCCTTCGCATTTTACATTATAATCGTTATAACTATTACTAAATCATACTGGTCCGCTGATACACTGCGTGTATTGTTTTTAAAGTGAATGAATTACTAAAGTAAACCTTTAGAAGAAAATAAATTTCTAACAAAAATTACTCATATTTACCGAGTTACAACGAAAGATTTCCTTTGGAAATTAGTTTCCAAAGAATGCTTAATTCTGTAGCAATTTGACTGCCTAATCCGCTACCGAATGTCCAGGTGTTTAAGGCGGGAGTCTGGTCCAGCTAATGTATTTTCCTAATGCATATAATTTCCAGATATAATTAATTTTTGTTATTGAAACTTTTTTTACATATAAAGGGACGTTCAAAGAAGAAAATTTGACAGTGTAGATTTAATTTGAATGTACACATATATGGGACGCATAGCTCATCGAATTTTTATCCGATTCACTTGATTCAACGCTTAAATTAAAGGTAATTAAGTTTATATGCTAATGAACCGCGACTCTTAATGAATTATTGTTATAGCATAAAGTTATTGCAAAATAACGGCCGACATGTATCGTTCACTTGCATGTTTTTTGCCGCCATTTTTGCAATTAACAATTTTTTTTTGCAAATTGAGGTTCATGCGCATTTTACGTACCTATAAAGAAAAAAATGTTCTGATTTTACCTATCAGATGTTTTCTCAGGGATCCGCGTATCCCACCGTTTTGACCGAATCCTTTCCTTGCGACTACTATATCTATATCTATACAGGGTGTTCAAAAAAAAGCATTCAATCTTTATATGGTGCATAGGGCACACTGTACCGAGTAAAAAAGCTTTGGTAAACATAGGTCCAAAGGTCAACCGTTTCTGAGATGTAAACATTTTTGTTTGCTAGTATCATGATTTACTTACTTGCTTTCATCGCATGCGATGTTTATGTCAGTGTTTATAAATTGCGTTCTGAATGTTCCCATTCAAGTGCCGACAATTTCGTCAATTTCATTTTTTCAATTTCGTGTACAGAAATGTGCAATGGACACGTGGAAAATCTTCTATAAATATCGAAAACCCAGTAGTAAGTCATATATATGTATACATTCAAATTAAATCTACACTGTCAAATTTTCCTCTTTGAACGTCCCTTTATATGTAAAAAATAGTTTCAATAACAAAAATTAATTATATCTGGAAATGATATGCATTAGAAAAATACGTTAGCTGGACCAGACTCCCCCCTTAAATGTTAAGCACTCGATTATTTGCGTTGTGCGAGATTTCTTATACGAGCGATGCCGTTTTGATCTCGACACGTCGGGGTAAATAGTGTCTGCGACGTGCCCGTTTAACGAGAGACAAATAGAACCCCTGCCAAGTGTTTGGCGCATCGAGAACAAAAAGTCCCCAGACCCCTACCCCTTGACACGCACACCCTGTGCGTGTGCCTAACATCTGTTATCCACGGTCCCTAATTGTTATTGCACGTACGTTGTTCCCGTTGCCTGCAGCAACGCTCGTTAAACTTTTCTCTTGCTTTATCGGTGGAATGCTCCGACAGTTCTTTTCTCCGCCGTTTTTTTCTTCTTTTTTTTTCCACCGTGTACGTAGACACGGATCCATTAATTGTTGTCGTTTGAAGCGAATACTATACGCCAATCGCATCCCTTTTTGCTTCGCAACAAGCATTTGGTTGTTGCATAACGGAAACTCTTTGGTGCTTCTTTTTATTTTAAAAGAGTACGTACGCCATTCGGAGAAAATATGCAAAATATTGCAAATATTAATAGAGAGGCTCGTGTGTACGAAAGAGGGAAAAGAATATTATGCAGTCTTAAACGTCGCTTTATTAATGTTTTGTCTCTCCTTTTGATCTGTTTCAGTTCGACGTTATTCGAGGCAACGATGGATCCTACGATTAGAGCTGCGTGGATCAGTTAAGGTAAGAGATAAATGTATAATGTGGAATAAAAATGTGCATCGACGAAAAAGGCACGTCTAAGAACAGGGAAATTATTGATTGCCATATGGTAACGTCATATGGCCAATAACACGGTGGTATTGTACATTCACTTTCATATACTGTGTAGTTTTTAAATATCTTGATCCACTTAACTTATGTTTACAGTTTGAAAACTCTAGTCGTAACAAGCAAATTGATGACAGAGATGATGAGAGAGATTTCTTTATGGTGAAAATTTTGCGCATAGTCGTTTCTTTCTTAATTCCTAATTTTTTGGTCATGAATTTTGTTATAGGACAACGTAATAGTAAATTTTTGTAATAAATATATAATTTGGAAATTTGGAAATTTGGAAATATACTCGTTGACAGAGTTAAGTATGACAGAGAATGATTGATAACTTCGAAACCGAAAAGAAGGAAGTTTAGAATTATTTGATTTATATTTTGTTGTTTCAAAAGTTTCTTTCGCTTTATTGACACGTTGACCGTCATGTTATCCATATTATAGGTGACAGGATTTTTCACTAGGAATTTAAAAAACTTACCCTGAAGACGAGGTGTCAAAAAAAATAAATCTGAATAAGATTCCTGAATACTCATAAGGTTGTAAACAAATAAATTTTACTAATTGTATATTTTATTAATATTAATTATTAATAATTTATTAATATTATTGAAATAAGTAAATACTATGTCAATTTCATTCATATGTTAAATGTTAATAAAACCGATTCGACAAATCATAGATGACGTAGTTTCCAATTATTTTAAAACAAAATTTTAGTCTTTTAAAAATGTTCACAAAAGTTAGCGTAGCAGTCAACATGTTATGCGATCCACTTTGTTTTATTACAGTTTATTACAGTTATTACATTAACTACTAATTGCAAGAGATAAAGTTGTCTATTTGTATAAATACTGTCACACAAATCAACTCAGTGCAAGTCGCGAAAGAAACTTTCTTGAGATGACTTAATATCTGTAAAAACCGGTTACGAATTGAATTTACTAAATTCACGTATAAATAATGTATTAAAAATATCTTTCAAGTCAAAACTATAATTGATATACTGTAAAAACAAATTCATTTATTAAATTAAAGAAGTATAGAAAATATGTATTACGTCTAAACAATTTACAAAAAATATGAAGCAACGTTTGCATATATAATTTTTTCCCTTAAATGACATTGTTTTTCCCGTTGGAAAATTTTAGAAATGTATAGAGGAAAATGACCCTTTCCTTATGTCCGCTTTTGGAAAAAACAGTATTAATTATCATTTTAGAATGGATAGTATGACTGATAAGAAATCGCTTACCTTTTGTTGCTAAATTGAAACCTTATTTGCTAGGATAGTTGGGTCTAATTGAGAAAATGTGAAAACATTTTTAGATTCTCTTGGATCAATTTTTGGAAAACACAAGTATGTCATTTTTAAAAAACATATTTGTTTTAGGCAGTTTCATTATGTGAAAAATAGGGAGTTCTTCTTTGGAGCACTCTTTATAAAACCTTTTGTGAATTTATTGTTAATATTAAAAAATTGTATAAGAAAAATCAATCGGAGGTCCGACTTTGGTCACTTTCCTCTACGTGAAAGTATAAATAAGACTTGCACTGACAATTCAATATTATATTTCTGGGTTAGAGGGACGCCTCCAAAAACAGATTCTAAATGTAAATAATAGCTTGTGTGTGACTTTAAATTTATCATTCAACGACGAAATTTAGCCGATAAATTTAGGAGGATTGGCCGCAAACGAGAATGAGTGACGTTATTATTGTACGGTATGGTCGGTTAAGAATCGTCGTTTGTCATTAGGTCATTAGGTCGACTCAACGAACCAGTGCACGTGGAACGACGGACGAAGAAGATTTCGAGCAAGAGTTATTATTAGGACGAGTTCTCTCGTACAGAAATTGTCCTCCCCCACTTCTTCGTCTTCCTTTCATTCTCACCCACTTTATATCTGTGTGGCTGTTGTTCATTTATCAAAGATTAAATCGAAACGCAAGGATGCGGTCGATACTTGCTCCGTTTTCTAGTCGTTAGAGTTGTTTGCAAGCGACGGTTAACTGTTACTCGCTTAGCGTGTGCTCTGATATACGGCCGATTCTTTTGCCACTCACTTTCGCGCACTTAACTTCTCCACGGATCAACTATTTCGCTCTAAAGAAAAACAAAGTCAAGGCGACACTTAACGAACAGAATACTTTGCATCGTGTGGTATGTGCATGTTGCAAAATTCGGACAAAGAAAATGGACCGAATTTTTGTGAAGCTGTAAATTTGCGATCCGATCGAAATCGAATAGAAATTGGTTTGGATAGTCTGTCGTAGAAAGAAATTTACAGAATTAAGGGATCCTCCCTATTCTAGATGCTTCAACAATAGAATTTTTTTTCTCGCCTTTTTTATATTTCTTATCATTTGTATTAGTTTGTCTGGAAAGTTCGTGCCGATTTTTGGTAGGCGGTACACGTCTGTTTATATTGGAGTGGTTGAAAACAATTAACGTGGGTGCAGCCCTTAAAATGTGGAAAGGTCGTGGAACAAAATGGTATTTATATAATTCAATAAATATATATCAAAATTCAAATGTGCCTTTAAATTTTTCTTAAACATTGGCACGAACTTTCTGGACAACCCAATAGAACAGCGTTTCTCAAACTGGTATCTGTTGATTCTCAGAAGAAAAAAACGTAGGATAACAAAATTGCTTTTCATTATATTTTATTCGTTTTTATGGGATCTTTAATTTAAAGCGTTATTGACGAAATCACTTTTGAAAAATTTGCGATTTTATCTACTCACACTTCTAAAAGCATTATTACTTCATTGAAGAACGAAATAATTTAGCGAAGGAGAAAAATGCATCTAGCTGACTCTAGGGAATAAATTAACAACGATACATTAATTTCGAGTTTAAGAGTGTTACGCTTAATTTTTCAGAAGTTGCATCATTCGTTTCATTTATGCAATAATGTGTATAATTTTAACAGCAACGTTTTGTGTTTATAACATTCATCATATTTCATTCTTCTTCTATGAAAAGTAATAAAAAATATTAATTTATATTGGATTTCTTAATTGGGCCATTCCATCCCAACTCGGACACTTTTTGGAGATATGTTGTAATCTTTAGTGATATTTGAACGTATCTTAAAGGATTTTAAAAAATTTTGAATATTGTCGATTTTACAGCTATTCAAAGTTTTGTGCTACCTTTTTTAAAAAAAAAATATAAGTATTGAACTAGGCAACGGATGAAAATGACCTTTTACGTGCTTATAGTGAAGACATGGAAGTATCAAATACAAATTATTTCAGAACAAGGAAAAGTTTTTTGAACCATTTTTATTTTATGGTTTCAAACAAATGCCTTGATTTTATACCGGGCATGTATTTAAAAATCTGAAAAAAATCTAATTTCCTTATACCCTCATTTTTTCTCTTTCTGGTGGTACTTGTAAAAAAATGGGTAAACTGAAATTGGCTGAATGAAAATTGATTGAAGGGAACGCTGCACAGTGCGGACAAATAGCAAAATTGTGGACAAAAATCAAAATTTCATTACTAATGTAAATATATTGCTATTTAGTCACAAAAAACAATTAAAATTAACCATAAACATTAATAAATTTACAACGAAATTAATAAATTTAACAAATTGCCCAATTGCATTGAGATAGTTTTGCCTGGACACCAAGTAATAATCATGTGCTTAACACTACTTTACACGTTTTATATTTTAGACGTGACCATGAAACGTTATTCAGATTCGAGATAGTAAGAATATCATACAGTATGATTTTATGAATACTAGCTTTACTTCACTTTTCCCCAAAACAAAATGTTTCTACAAGCAGACTTTAATACAATATTTAATTTCTTGAAAATTGCGATACGATTAATTTGGAAAATTTGATTGCTAAAATAGTACATACTGCGTCCGTGGCTCGTCGAATCAGGAAGAAAAAAGTGCGTGAGTTTGAAATGTGATTGGCTGCGCGACGTTGTAGGGGTGGGGATGGTGGTTGAAGGAAAAGAAGAAGAAACAAAATACATACTCTTAACGAAGGCAACCGCGCTGCATTCGTTGGATTCACATACTACATATACGGCGCAGCTTGCTCACGCATTTAATGAATAGAGTCGCGTTTACGTCGAGTTAATGCGAGCGAGTGGAAACGAACAAGCTTTTTCGATGCACGGTTAGCGTATATGTATACGTTGCATGCATATCGAATAGCGGTTTGAGTGCAGAGCCTGGAGGAACCTTCCGCAGCTAGGATACCGCCGACTTTTGTTCGCACTTGAATAGTGTCGAGTACTTCCGCAGACGGATGTGGAAACTTACGAACATTTTATTTGTTGTTTAATTTTTTCCTTAACATACCGCGCATTCGAAGGTTTTTATTACACGCCCATCGCAGAAAGACTTTTACCGTCGTTAAACTTTCGTGTTAGAAACTCGTAACTAACTACGTCTAGACTAACAATAAGTTCCCTTACTTTCGGTTGAACTTCTATATTTGTCTTTTTTTTTTCAAGTAGTTTTCTAGATAAAAATTTGAAATTAGATTCCAGTGTAAAATTCCTATTATTATTCCTATTTACATAATTTTTTTAAATAACTTTGAAAAACAGTAATCATATTACAAAATCCTCACGCTTATTTGTTTGATACCTTTCAGAGAGTATGTCAACAAAATTTGGTTCAGATAACTTCATTTTTGAAGGATTTATTTTAATTTTTTGAGCGGTATTCATATAATGATTAACTGTTAGTAGTTTTCCATACAAAATTTTAGAAATACGTATTCTTATATGGTTTTTAACGGTGAATCACAAAATCCATACCCTTTCACCATACTCCTTTCAAAGACTATGTAAACAAAATTTAATCTGGATAAACATAATTTTTGGAGTTATTTTAATACCTCCTTAAAAATTAAAAAAAGTATTTCAGAAAC